CAATGACACTCCTTCAGAGAGAAAGCAATGGCGTATTTTCCCCAATAGATTAGTGCTGGGTATTTTTTGCCTATTTGTCTTCACTGTGTGAGGTGGGTGTTGGGGATAGTCTACTAGCTTTAAAACAATGAACTCTGTTATCAAGTCTCTCTGTGGAGCAGACCTCAGCTTCAGAAACACACTCAAGGGGAGTCATTTGGGACTCTTGACTTGTTACCTTTCACGGACCCAATGTATGCAGATATAGTAGCCCTTCTGTATAGGTACCTCTGGTGCTAATCATACTTTGTATTTTGTATGTTAAGGATTTTTCAACCAGAACTGAAAATACCATTTGGGCAATACGTTTTTAAAGACAGTTTAAATGAAGCTGGGTTGGGGGGGGGGGCGGAGGCAGAGAAAATACAATTGTACCAGAGACCCGGGATAAGACTGTCACAGCAATAAGGGGTGACAGACTGGCTTCCTTAAATATCCATTTAGTCTGTATTTCCTGGACATATTTTTCAGTTCTCAAAATGGATACTAATTATGGCTTAGAAGGAAAATAGCACCCAAATAAAGCAAGTGATATTTATGACTTGCGACCTGCCAGTGTCTTCTGGGACCCGAAACTCCACTTGCTGGTACATTCTAATACCCCGTTGTCAGAGCTGTGTTTTCCCTCTGGGGACCATAAAACTGAGTGTGAGCTTTGGTGAGTAATCCTGGCATTGTCAGTTACTTCATGTATTCGCTTACTGTTAACTTTTAATTGGTCAAAAATGACTTTATGACTACAAACAACTTTTTCCTTTCCTCCTCATGAAGTCTCCATGCAACCCATATATTCCTTTTCACGTTTTAAAAGTGTGTTTCATTCTTCAAGAATACCTGTAGCTGGGTGCGGTGGCTCATGCCTTTAATCCCAGTGCTTGGGAGGCAGAGGCAGGCAGATCTCTTTGAGTTCGAGGCTTGCCTGCCTGCCTGCCTGATCTACAGAGTGAGTTTCAGGACAGCAGGGAGACCCTGTCTCAAAAAAAAAAAAAAAAAAAAAAAAAAAAAAAAAAAAAAAAACAAACAAACAAACCAAACCAAACCAAACCAAAAAACACTTGTAAACTCATCTAGCTTGAAACCGATTGAGAGATTGGGTCTCATTTCTTCTGGGAAGCGTGGAGTTAAGAAATTTAGGTCAAATCTGAAACAGTTGTAAAACCTCCCCTCCCCGAAATCCATCGTGAGGGTTGAAGGACTAAAAACCATTACTATTTCTAACAGAGTATCAAATTTCTAGAAGTTTTGTGTACTCTATGTGTGTGCTTCTTCATTAGCAATTCAAAATGTCTGATTTGCCCACACAATTACTTTCAACTTCTTTACTCCTTTGACCCGGAAGAAAGAGAAAGATTTTGCTCAGCTGCAAGGTCTCTGGGCGAGTTGGTTAGCAACAGGGCTTGCCAGTTTGGATTCACTTAGCAAAGAGTAAACACATTTCATTTAAACGATTACTAGTGTGTTGAGTTCCTCTCTATGCAGTTTTGTTTTATTGTCTTGAATCACCCCCCCCATTCATTACCCAACTTTTTATTTGTGTGTTATTCTTTCCTCCCATTGTCTCGAGAGCAGAACCTTTCTACATTTCCTTCTTGCTGTGGCAGCGATCAACACAGCTACAAAGAACAGGTACGGACGGAGGAAGTTTATTTGAAGGGAGGGGAGCGCCACACAAAATAACGTCTCTCCCTTCCGTAATGTAAAGCCTTGGCTCGTTAAGTACCAATTAAGAAGCAGGCTAAAGCGTCTACATGTATCAGCCTCACTGGAAAGCTCTAAGACTGGTCTCTGGGCAATGTCTTTGCTTGTCACCGTGAGTGCAGACGGGACACGGGGATCGGGAAAGAGAAACGCAGCTGCAACTTGCACGGAGGACGCTGGGAAAAGGCGCCTCTCGAAGCCGCTCGGAGTTTGCGGGCCCCCGTGCACCTGGCGGCTGACACCACAAGCCGGAGGCGGCGCGTCCCCGCGGACGCGGCTCAAGCGAGCACCGCAGGAGGGCCAGCCCCTGCCGCCCCAGGCCGGCCCCGGCCAGCTGCGGCCCCGCGCGCTCTGTTTCCCCGGGACACCTGCCCCGTGTAAAAGTATACTTATGGCCGTCTCGGTGCACGCAGACTCATTCACTCCACACCCCCACAACGCGCTCGTCTCCAGCCTGGAAACAGGCCCCTCCCCGCGCAGCTGTCGCCGCCGCCTGTGGGCTCCTTTCACTTTCTCACGGCCAAGTCACCCAGAGGGGCGCCGCTGCTGCTGCCGCCGCCACCGCCGCGGCGGCCCGCGGACTCCGCCTCCCCCTCGAAGAGACCACGCCCACCCAACAGTCGCCGCCTGCGATTGGCGCGCGCAGGCGGCAGCTCCTACCCGCCATTGCCATTGGTCGAGCCTCACGGTCAGTCCCGCCGCTCCTCCGCCCACCCCCGTAACGCCGCTCTGCTATTGGGCAATGCTGCGACCAAGGGCGGGCCAGGGACCGGGGCCCGCCGCTTTCGCTCAATCGCAGAACGGCCGGCGCGGGGCGGCCCGTCCGGGCGGGGCCACATCTGGGCCGCGCCGCCGCGTGCGTGCGTGTGCGTCGTCCGCCCCCCGCCCGCGCCCCGCCCGCCCCGCCCCCCGGCCCGGCGCCGCGCTCGCCCGCCCGCCCGCTCCCGCCCGTACGTCTGGCAGGCTGCGGCCGCCGCTGGGCTGCTGCCATGGGGAGCCGTTGAAAGAGTGGGGCCCTGTGGCTCGGCCGCGCGCCTCAGGCTGCCAGCGCGGGCGGGGGCGGCGGGGGCGCGCGGGGCCCGGGCCGGGGCCGGCGGGCGGGCGGGGGCCGGCGGAGGACGCCCACAAGTCCAGCGGCGGCGGCAGAGGAGGAGGAGGAGGACGCGGCGGGGACGCGGCGACTCGGGCCGCTCCGTGTGAGTCCCCGCGCCCGCGCTGCCCCGCTGCCGGCCGTGGGCTCCCGCCGGGTGGAGTTAGTTAGTGCGGCGGAGGGCGGGCGGGCGGTGCGGGCTCGCTTCGCCTCGCCTGGCCGCGCTCCCCGGCCGGTGCAGCTGCGGCGCGGGGCGGACTCGGTGCAGCTGCGGCGGCGCCTCCCGGTGCGGAGGGCGGGCGGGCGGGCGGGGGAGGGGTCCGGGCCGCCGCAGCTGCAGCGCCCGGGACGGCCGCGGCTCCGGAGCCGGTGCAGCTGCAGGGCCGAGGGAGGGGGAGGGCGCGGCGCCCGGGTTGCGGTTGCCGGGAGGCCCCGGGGGCTGGCGCGCGGCGGCGGCGGGGGAGCGGTCGCCGCGCCGCTTCTTGCGACTTTTCTTTTGTTGTTGCCGCGACCCGGGTCTGTTTTCTCGGCCGTTGTGGAAGGTGTTTTCTGCTGCACCGGCTCTCTGCTCTGCACCTCCTTCCCGGTGGTTTCACCCCTCCTCTTTCCCCGAGTGCTTTATGCTCGGCCAACTGCACGAAGATTTGCATCTCCCCCACCCCGAACCAAACCTCAAACACACCCGGGGCACCCTGCCCCCCACCTCTGAGAAACAAAACCCCAAACCTCATAGAACCTTCGTGGGTCCGCGGTAGCGAGACTTGGACGGGATGTCTCCGGGCCATTGCGGTCCTTGGGGCTCATTAAACTGTCACTCACCCCCACCATCACCCCACTGAGTAAACGGGGTGATTAATGTTGGATATATTGGAATGGGGCGAGGGCATCTGCGGAGAAGAGGGTGTGTGTAGCAGGGAAGTAATGTATCTGCACAGTGTGCCTCCAGAACGAGTTCAGAATTATGTCATTCACCGCGAAGTTAGTGAAAGTTAGGTTTGTGACTCGTGAGCGAGGGCAGGACAGAGTTGGGGTTTTGTTCTCTAGCTCCCTGCCTCGGTTTTCTAAGGCGAACCTAAGTGGTTGTCGCCCGGGTTGGGACGTTTGCGCCCCAGGCCCCAAGTTTCTTTTTTCTACTCCTCAACCTCCCAAGAGGCTGTAGAGATAGATGTGTCTGACATTCATAGATGTCGCAGCACCTTGCAGGGAACCGGGCAGCCCAGCCCCGGGTTACCTTAGCATTTCGTCAGCCATTAGAAAAGACCCACAAACTCCTGCCAAGAAAGTTCCCAAAGTCTACACTTGGCTTCCCACCCCTCCTGCTGATCACAACCCTTTAGCCCAAAGTGATAGATAGGGAACAAGGGCAAAACAAAGTGATGGCCTTTTTCTGAGCAGAAAGATGAGATGTGACCAAACAGTCATTCTAAGTGACTGCAGCAGGTTGTGTCGGTTTATTAATTTGCCTTTATTGAACTGAAATACTTTCCAGGATTTCAGAAAGTGCAGTTTCAGTTTGTTGACGCTGAGAATGGAAATCTGCATTGGTGGTGGCAGTGTGAATTATTTTCCTGGGAGTTAGTTGCAGATAAGTTGCTAAGTAAGAGTGAAATAATAAGGTGAACCACGCTGAAGTAATAGCTCTTAATAAGTCTGCCAACATTTTGGAAATGTCTACCATTATCTCCGCGGGGGGAGAAAAAAGAAAACCATGCTGTAATAATGCTCAAGTGGGGCTGGAGATGTCAAATGGGTTGGTTTAAAAATATCCCTAAGCTGCCTTTGAAAGTAGACGTTGGAGTTGAATAAAAGTGAATGTGGGTTTCCTGAATAGCACCGAGCTTGAGTGTGCTGTCATATGTAAGCCAGTCCACCAACTTGAGGCAGAAGTGTTGCGATTCCATAAATACAGTAGGACTCCATATGCTGAGTTTTTTCAATTTCTTGTGTTAGAAAGTTTGGGGGGGAAAAAGGAAGACTTTGAAGTATTTTGTTTATACTAACAGAAGAGAAAAGTTCTCCTAAGAAAAAGCTGGTGGCAGGAGTGTAGAGGAGTAGCATATGGCATTAAAGGAGCACAGCTGGAGGTAGCATTTCCATCTGAACATGATGTCAGAGCAGCTGACAGCCTGCCATCCCTCAGCCTTTTATTCTAACACACAGACAGGGAGTTAGTGTGTGCCGATCTGTGGTGGAGAAGGTATCTCTTTCCTCTCCAACATCATCTCCACTTTGCATCTGTCTCTCTTAGTCTGCTTTTTTTCCACCGATGTAACAGACCTGGAGCCAGCAAGACTCCGAGGGAAGGACTTAATCAAGTTTATGTGTCCTAAAGGTAGGAGTAGCAAGAGATTAGATTGAGCATCTTTCTGTTTGGGTGTTTTATTTAATTTTTTTTAAAAAAATCACATTACTTTTGTAGTCTACTTTATGAATAATATGTGAAATTGAGCATGAAGTGATGATCTTCCTGGAGTTGGAAGTCTTGGGCTTGCTTGGTTTAAATTTTTCTTTTCTTTGAGCAAGTAAATAACTTTAATACACAGAAATATTTCAAGTTTTCAGATGGTAAGAAAAGCTTTGGAATATGGGTTTTTGAGATCACTTTGGATTAAGATGCCTTTTGTTGTTCACTGCTGTTTAGATTCCTTTTGCTTTAGGGGGGCAGAAACAGTAAACTGTCTGGAATCCAGCTTTCAAACTTATATGAGAAGATTATTCTGGTTAAGAAGCTAGATTGTTGTGTAATTAATTCCACTGTGAAACTTTATTCTTGAAAACATTCGGCAAGCATTACTGAAAGCAGCATACAGCTGTAGTGCTTTTGAAACCGGAGGGTTTTTGTTGTTGGGTATTTTTTGTTGTTGTTTTTTAAGAAGGGGGGAGACAACTTTTGTCCTTAGGAGAATAGTTTGACCAGTTTCCTCATTTCTCTTTCAAATATATATTTAAGAGATCTTTTATTTCAGCATAACAGTAATTATTTGCAGGAGTTTCTGTGTTAGCGACTAATTTAGAACTTGTAGATTCGAGCTGCCTGAATTGGCCAGACAGCTGTAATCGCACTCCTCTATTCTTAATCTCTTTATCTGGGCAGCAGCTGCCATATGGCCACAGTCAGCTGGATCAGATGTTTATAAGCTTCCTTCTTCGTCCCTCTCTGTCCTCTCAGCCTCCTAATTTGATCACGGCTACCTTGTGAGCTGGCCTCCAATCTTTATTTTTAGCCCTCTCCAGGATTAGGATTGATGTTAGCTGTGGGGCACTTAAAGTGATTGTATTGTAAATCTTGGTTCATTCTATTGGTGGTGTCTTTCGGAAGGTATCTGGGGTTACCATGAGAGTCTCACTGTTTCAGCATGGTGAGGACAAGGAGGGGAGCTGGTTCTGAATGTTAACTCCATATCCACCCTCAGCTGCACTTGGTGTGGTGGGTGGATGGGAGCCCTGCCTCTGTTCACAGCATGGAGAAGTGGGCTCCCTTTATCTTTCTCCACTACAGTTGGATTTTGACCCAGTCTTGCCTTCCCTCCTTCTCCACCCTCCCTTGCCAGAAAACAAGGCACAGATGCATAATTGAAAGAACAGAACTACTGGGAAAACACGATATATCAAGTTATTATTGAAACAAAGTATTTTCTGTTGGCGAGGTAAGGGAGAGCCAGGGGAAAAGTGTCTTGTTTTTCTAGGATGAGTTTTAAAAATACAAAGTATTGAACCTATAAAGTTTTTTGTACCTCGTTTTATAGTGGTAAAAGTTTGATTAATTTTAATATGGAGTTTTACCCTTTAGCAGATCAAAGTTTAGATGAGAATTTTCAGAGTTAACAGCCTCTCTGGTTGCTAATAATATTGTTCTACAAAGAAACACCCCCCCCATTCATTTTAAAAATGTTTGGATTTGTTCATAGTAAAGATGATCTTTCCCATCTGTTGGTGCAGTTCCGTCCGATCTCCTGTGTGTATGCAGTACCTGCAAATCTTACGCACCAACATCTGTTCTTATACACAGGGCTTTTGTTGTTGTAACACTCTGACTTTAAAAGTAAGTTGTTTGCAGATTTCTGGACTAATTATGCAATTTCATTCCCCCACTCCCCCAATTCAGCCGAATGTGTCTGTGTTCAATCTGCGCCTTTCTAGTAGTCAGGTATGAAAACTGATAAAATAAAAAGAATGGTTGGGCAAGTTTTCTTGACTCTTCCAAAATTTGTGTGGGACTTTGCCTTGTTATTATGGGTTCTTTCCTTTTGAAGTTAGGTTTTGTGAGATGTCGTTTGATGAGTAGTTGGTTAAATTTCTTTTGGAAGAGGTCTGAATTCTTGTTCTCAGTAATAGGCTGTAGTCAAAGGAAGTCTTTAACTTGATCAGGAGTTCTGAGAAGGGTGAGCCCCCTTGGCAAGTGCATTTAGGTTGCATATATGACTGGGGAGTCCTTTGGGGTGTAATCCTGATTTAAAATATGGAACTCTCCACCACTAAAGCGATTTTCTTTTAAACTGGGAACTAGAGGCTAAACTCGTAAACAGGCTCTAACGAGAACCTCCTCTTTCCCCAGGTTATGAAGACAGTATGGAGTTTCCAGATCACAGCAGACATTTGCTGCAGTGTCTGAGCGAGCAGAGACACCAGGGCTTTCTTTGTGACTGCACTGTTCTGGTGGGAGATGCCCAGTTCCGGGCGCACCGAGCTGTGCTGGCTTCATGCAGCATGTATTTCCACCTCTTTTACAAGGACCAGCTGGACAAAAGAGACATTGTTCATCTGAACAGCGACATTGTGACAGCCCCCGCTTTCGCTCTCCTGCTTGAATTCATGTACGAAGGGAAACTCCAGTTCAAAGACTTGCCCATTGAGGACGTGCTAGCAGCTGCCAGTTATCTCCACATGTATGACATTGTCAAAGTCTGCAAAAAGAAGCTAAAAGAGAAAGCTACCACTGAGGCAGACAGCACCAAAAAGGAAGAAGACGCTTCAAGCTGTTCAGACAAAGTCGAGAGCCTCTCAGACGGCAGCAGCCACATGGCAGGTGACCTGCCCAGTGATGAAGATGAAGGCGAAGATGAGAAATTGAACATTCTACCCAGCAAAAGGGACTTGGCAGCTGAGCCTGGGAACATGTGGATGCGATTGCCCTCAGACTCAGCAGGCATCCCCCAGGCTGGCGGAGAGGCCGAGCCACACGCCACAGCAGCTGGAAAAACAGTAGCCAGCCCCTGCAGCTCAACAGAGTCTTTGTCCCAGAGGTCTGTCACCTCCGTGAGGGATTCGGCAGATGTTGACTGTGTGCTGGACCTGTCTGTCAAGTCCAGCCTTTCGGGAGTTGAAAATCTGAACAGCTCTTATTTCTCTTCACAGGACGTGCTGAGAAGCAACCTGGTGCAGGTGAAGGTGGAGAAAGAGGCGTCCTGTGATGAGAGTGATGTTGGCACTAATGATTATGACATGGAACATAGCACTGTGAAAGAGAGTGTGAGCACTAACAACAGGGTACAGTATGAGCCGGCCCACCTGGCTCCTCTGAGGGAGGACTCGGTCTTGAGGGAGCTGGATCGGGAGGACAAAGCCAGTGATGATGAGATGATGACCCCAGAGAGCGATCGGGTCCAGGTGGAAGGGGGCATGGAAAGCAGTCTGCTTCCCTATGTCTCCAATATCCTGAGCCCTGCAGGCCAGATCTTCATGTGCCCCCTGTGCAACAAAGTCTTCCCCAGCCCCCACATCCTGCAGATTCACCTGAGCACGCACTTCCGAGAGCAGGATGGCATCCGCAGCAAGCCTGCCGCCGATGTCAATGTGCCCACGTGCTCCCTGTGTGGGAAGACTTTCTCTTGCATGTACACCCTCAAGCGCCACGAGAGGACTCACTCGGGGGAGAAGCCCTACACGTGCACCCAGTGCGGCAAGAGTTTCCAGTACTCGCACAACCTGAGCCGCCACGCTGTGGTGCACACCCGTGAGAAGCCCCACGCCTGCAAGTGGTGCGAACGCAGGTTCACGCAGTCGGGAGACCTGTACAGACACATCCGCAAGTTCCACTGTGAGTTGGTGAACTCCTTGTCGGTCAAAAGCGAAGCACTGAGCTTGCCCACTGTCAGAGACTGGACCTTAGAAGATAGCTCTCAAGAACTTTGGAAATAATTTTATATATATATATAAATAATATATATATATATACATATATATACATAGATCTCTATATAGTTGTGGTACGGTCTAAAAGCAGTCTTGTTTCCTGGAACTGAAAAGTTGGGATCTTAACTTGTTTTTGCACTTTAGAATAATAGCATGAGAATCTCACTAATTTAGCATTCTGATAAAAGAAACTTTAGAGCAAGTCAGAAGTAGAAAGGTGTCTTTCCTTTGAAGGGTAGGCCAAGTTAGCCAATAAATCCTTCTCAGCAAATGGTTCTGTCACAAAATGCTTTCAGATGGCTTCATTTTGTAGACACTGCATTGTCTTGAGCGCTTTTCTTGTGCCCCACATTGTTTTGTTTTGTTTTGTTTTCAAAGTAGAAATCCCCTCCAGTTTTATTAGCCTCTTTATATGTCTCAAATTGCATGAGTATTTTCTGGCTGTTGGAAACCTGAATGCTTTTAGACCCAAATGGAAAATTTCTGAAATGCTGGATTATCTATTTTTAAACAAGCAGTTGACTTAAAACTTTCTGTGGCAACTTCTGGTTTTCTGACAGTTCCCAGTGAGAGCAATTGTGACAGTACACTGGGTCACTGGGACTGTCTCTGTGAAGGTTTGCTTGAGATGAAAGAGGGTATTGCAGCTTCAGCAGTGTTGAACTGTGTTTAAAATGTGAATTACTGTTCTTGTATACTGTAATTGATTACACGGGCTGGGGGGGTGTCAAAGAACTTGACAGGTTGTGTTGATGCTCTTAGTTGAGTCTTGAAAAGTAAATATTAACGCTACAGAAATGCATGAGTTTCAATATATTTTTTGTCTTTGTTTGCATTGTATAACTTTAACGAGTGAGTTTAAAATTATTTAATTTCCTTAGAAAAATAGCACCGTTTGGGGAAAAAAAACTGGTGTTACGAAGAACGTAAATGCACTGTTTTTATTTTTATTTTATATAATTTAAATTGACTTTTCCCACTGTCTTTAAGTTGAAACTGTTAAGCTGAATAAAAACTTAAGCTGCAAATTGATAACTTCGCTACATTACAAGGAACATATAAATGTTTACAAACGGCTTAAAGATTTGCATGTGCAGTGTGCATTTATAACACACTTGTAATTGCACAGAACCCATGCCAGCTCAGAGTTTAGGTGTACACATGTACCCAGCTGAGCATTTTTAGAATAACTACTGCACAAATTGACAATAGGTCATAGGTCATTCTCTCTCTCTTTTTGCTTCCCTTTTCTTTTTTCCCCTGTTTCCTTTCCCCTACCCCCTAACTTGTGAAAAGATTTCTATGGACTGAGAAAGCCCCAGGCTGAAAGGACTGCACTGCCTTGATTGACATGGGGAAGGGGGTTAGTAGACTATGTGTATCGGCAGCAGAGGCTGCAGCCCAACGTGTGGTTTTAATGACCAGCACGCAGGGGAGAAGCATTTTGCACAGTGTTTGTTTTCCTGTCTTGCACTTACAAATAAGGTCTATGGGAGTAGCATGGAAAATGTTTGTTGTTTTTCCCTTTTTCTTTTTTAATTGCTTTTGTTTAAAATTTGATCGCCTTAACTACTGTAAACATAGCCTATTTTTGTGCTTAAGATACTGAATGGAAAACTCCATTGTGTGTTGCTGGACTGTTTTGGAAATATTTGGTCAAATGTATGTTAATTTGGCTGTAATGGCATTTAAAGCAAACAAACAAACAAACAAAAAAAGCTGTGAAAATGGCCTTGGAGCATTATCTTTAGTTACTTGAAGAGTTTCTAGTTTTTTTGTTTTTGTTTTTTTAATACAGTTTATGTTAAAATAATATTAATTTAGAGAAGACAATCAATGTCTGTGAGAGAACGGACTTCTTTTGGATTTTTTTTTTTCTCTCTTTTTGTGGTCATTGTGAGTGATTGCTTTTTCCTTTTTCTTAGTTTCACATTCTTCCTTTGTTCTAAATCTTAGACTGACATCTAGCTTTGACAATCATAGTATGTTTTATTTCCTGAGGGGGAATAACTTATAATGCTGTTTAGTTTTGTACTATTGGTGTGTTGGTGAATTTTTAAACTGTGTGCTAACTGCAATAAATTATATGAACTGAGAATTCCCTGTGTGGTTTTTGTACTATGATCGCATAATAGATTTTGAAGTTTGTATAGTGCATGGCATCTTCATTTTAATATCATTTTTATTAAGGTTATGAAGTTATTAGATTGCTTTAGGGTCACCCAAATAGAACTGTGCATATTCTCATCATTTTAAAATATGACCCATTTCTACAGTGTAGATCAAGATTATTGAAGCAATTCCCTAGAAAACTGTGAATATAAAGAACTTCAAGTGGCAGGGTAGGTTTTTCATAGTAAGTCACACAACTATTAACCCATATACAATGCAAGTCACTTTCCATGCATGGTTTTACCCTAAGTTGATTGGTCAAATCCATTCTCCCATGTTCTGGCTTAAGTGGAAAATTGAAGGAGACCGGATGTCTTAATTTGGAACACTGCTTGGCTAATGAGTGGAAGTCTAGGCAATTGAATTAGCAGGCATTCGGTTGTTCAAGATTAGCTGTGTATGTCCATTTTTCTTAACAGAACTCAAAAGATCTTAGTGTTTATATTCTAATTTTAAAACATACTTAAACAATGCATCATTAGAACTGTTCCTTCCTCTGTCATTGCCCCTGCCCCAATTTCTTGCCTGTCTGGTTGGGTATGTGTCTGGTAAGGGCTGGTTAGCTCACAGAATTGACAGAACACATACATGTATATGGGACTATGGGGAAATTGTCACACGGGCTGAAGATTTCTGAGGTTGCATAAATACTGAATCTTTAACTGTCGGTAACTCCCAAGCCTAAGGACAAATGGAAATAATAGTTTTACATAACTACTGTCTAAGATAAGATTACACCAAAAAACTCACGCTAAGGTTAATATTTTATGGGGGATCCAGAGTGTGAAACATACCCTCTAGGGCTCTGATGGCTTTGGCTAGAAACCCACAAAAATTTTTATCATAAAATCCAAGCAAAAATTTGCAATTTGGAGTTGATTCATTCAATTTTTAACTGAACAATGTAATTAACAATTCAACAATAGGTTTTAGACAACTGAACATTCTACATTTGGCCTCTACAGAACAATTCCTTGAGCAGTTATTAAGTGAGATGGAGAGAGATGCCTTCCATTTTCCTGTATGCTAAAGCTTCCCAAAGGTGTTGAGGGTTGATATATAGATCCCATTGACTCTGAATTTTAAGTGAGCCACTTTAGTAGGCTTCATAGGATGTACTCCTTAACACAGCATGCTGATTATGACTTGGGAATAACTTTATTAAAATACCGTAGAATAGGCATACACAAATGGTCACATTTGGCATGTGACATGCAAGAATCTGTTTATTCACTGCACTGAAGAAAGAAAGTTGTCATCTAATCCAGTTGGAAACCTGCAAAATCAGGCCTCCTTTGACATCTGGCTGATCCTTGAATGTGTCGCAAAAATATGGTTTCACTTACTTTTGAAAACATCTGTTTCTTTCAGATAATCAGTTATGCCCTGGATTGCTGTGGGCCCAGCATTGTGTGCTAGGTGTACCCTGGGGAATAGCTGAAAAGTAGAAGTCGCTAAGGTGCAGGTTGGGAATTTCCTTCCCAGTTAATTACACTATCGGATTAATAGGTGAGTCAAATAGAGACTTTACATGGTTCTCTAAAAACAGGGTTTTGGACGGTCAGAAAAAAAAGTGTACATTATATTAAAATTATGTGTGAATTCACATTAATAAGTATTAATGGTATTTTCCCAAGTAAATTTTTGTTTTGAAATACTATTTTTTAAAAAAAAAAAATAGCTGGGTTTTTTTTTTGTTTTGTTTTGTTTTTGTTTTTGTTTTTTTTTTTTTTTTTACCTAAGAAGCAATTCTACTTGAAAAGTTTTGAACTTCCTGGTTTTACAGATAAAACACGTAAAATACAAAGAATCCTTGAGAAACTCCATTTTTAAAAATCTGATAGAAATTATTTAAATATCTTAAGATCTCAAAATTTCCTACATCATTTGACTATTTCATTCCTATAAAATTTAGAATCTTTGAGTTCTAACCTAATAATGGCAATTGCATATACCTCTGGATAGAAAATTTTTAATTTTAGATATTTATCTAAATTTTTATTATGATTATGGCAGTGTTTGAAGTTGCTGATAAGGTGTAGTGAAGTAAGTGTGAGTTTTGAAGTTCAGGACAGAAAAGCTGTGTTATTTTCATTACAGTTGCCCTCTGCCATTAAAAACTGGAGATAATGTCATCTTAAAAATAAAGCACTGATTTTATTTTTTAAAAGCAAATGGCTTTTAGGAATTTCATTTTGGCCAGAGTCCAACTTTATTACACTGACAGGATCTTGTCCCTTATGTTAGATTTTTTTTTTTTTTTCTACCTTTTGCCTGCAGAATCCTGGCAGACTCTCTGTGATCCCTTGGTCTAGACACGCAGTCACTTCTCGGACTTCAAGTCATCTTAGCTCTGCCAGAGACATCTTTTGTCTCTAGCTCTCTCTACCCTGCTCATCAGCCTTATTATGGAATAGCAGCAGAGGAGTGACATCTTAGGGACAAAATTGAGAGCTTTCGGAAATTCATTTTAAGAGAAATTTCAGAAATTAAGCTTTTGGCATTTTTTAAACCAATATCTTTAAAATAAAAATCCTCACCTACCAACTTCTGTGACTTCTTGAGGAAGAAACCGAACTCCAAATGTACAGCACTGTGAAAAGAAAGGTTGGCTGTGTAGAAATGAATCAATGAATAGCAACAGTTTGAACAGTTCTTTTTTCTTTAAAAATCCAAATTCTTTATCGTGTCTCTGCTTATGCTAAATAAGTTGTAATTAATTCTCCAGGTAATGCAAACATATAGAATAGTTTTCTTCTCCTAGGACAACATTCAAGCCCTTGAAAGAGATCGGCCTTCTTTCTTTTTTTCTTTTTTCTTTTTGCCTGGGAAGGGTGCTTAAGGAGAATGGTGGTCTACTCAGTCACCTTTCCTAATTCTATTCTGATATTTACTAATTTCATTTCAATTTCTAACTTTATGTGTAATGATACTTTAGTTGGAAAGGTAGCTTTAACAATATCTTTTAAAATCAAAGTTTGTCTTCAGTTTAGTCATTTATTCCCACAATAAGGTTATGTTCTCTGAGCTTTAGGACTGGATTTGCAATTAGGTTATAGGAAACTATGTCTCTTAGAAGGAGATGGAGAAACAAAACAACACCAAAACCATTTGGTTTTAAAATGTAACAGATTGAGTAAGGAACAGTTTCACTAAGTGTGTGCAGGGTGGCTTCAAGAGTCCTGTGTCACTCAGAATACGCGTTCACTGAAACCAACCACATACCGTTTATTATGATTTTTGCAATTAACCATTAAATCAGGTGGCTTTTGTTAAGTGTCAATGTACATGCTTAATGTGACTAAAGAAATTTTTAAAAGTCATTGTTCCAAATATTCAAGTTTGTTAAAAGTGTACTTGTAGTTCATATGAAGTGGAGCATGAAAGAATGTGTTTTTATATTGGTAAACATGTGTGTGAGTAGATTAAATCTTTTAATATAGAAAATGTGTAGATGCTATTGAACTTGAAAGAGTAGCATGACCTTATTTATGTGTCATGCCAGACCAGAGCTAACTTTTGATAGGTGACAGAACTCAGAAGATATGTATCAATCATGTATGTATGAATATATTTACTTAAACCTATAAAAAGAATATGTACATTTCACTAAAGGAAAACATGCTTAATGTGGGTCACTTTAAAATCTGAGAGGATTATTAATGACTCTTAATATTTTGTATTTCTGATGACCTGAGACAAGCTTTGATCAAAGTAAAAGCATTTAAACTTCTTTCAAATCTCTTTTAAAAAATTTTTCAGAGGTTGAAAATATACCCGTGCCTTTTCTGTAAACCTTGTCTTTGAAACTGTAGCATGTATACTGGCTTGGTAATACTGAAACATTTGCATGTTTACTAGACAGCAATGCCTCCTAAACGGGTTGGTGTGAACCATTTTGGGAGAAGCACACCAGTACAATAATTAGAATACTGAAGGAAAGTGTCTATGGCCAGTGAGCTGGAGTGACTGTAGATGTTAGTGACATCTATGTGTATTTATTGGAAAAAAAAAAAAACAACAAACCTCACATTTTCTAACTTACAATATTTTCTCCATTACTTAAAATCGTTTTCAAATAGAAGAAATTGGGGAGGGGGGAAGGAAAGGAAGTGAAAAAGGAAGGAAGGAAGGAAGGAAGGAAGGAAGGAAGGAAGGAAGGAAGGAAGGAACCATATCTCAAGAAAATCAGATTTGCTAAGTTATTTCTACCTGGCTTTGACAAAGAAGGTTCTAGATTCAGTATGGAAGGAGGGGAGAACGACACAGGTTTACAGCCAACATACAATCACACAGGACAGGAGTCTTTTATGTAAAATTTAAAATCTCTTCCAAAACTTCAAGGTTTAGTAAGGGAATAATCTAAGAGAAACTGATGTCACTGGGTAAGTGTTCATGAAGAACAAACTGAAATTCTTACCTCATACACTGCTTTTTAGCTTCCTCTGAGTCCTCTAATTCACCGCAAGAGGGGAAAGTTTATTCATCAAGTGATTTTGACACCATGGCATAACTGAGTTTTCCAGCCAAGTTGTTTTCATGTCTTTCTACCATTTTTGGAGGGGGGGGCGGGAAGGAAACAAATTTGAAATGAAAACTCCAATTTAGATTGGCCTATTTACCACCCTGGGTACAAGCTAGCTATGTGTTAATATACCCAGGCAGGGGGCCTGAGCTGGAATAAAGGAGCTGAGGCATTTCTGGGGCTCCTTACAATAAATGACATCAAACTGGATGAAAACCTTCAGCAAAAGGCAGAGAAATTAGAGGATATGTTGGGGCACAAAGAACTTTTGCTTTTCATAGTAAGTGTGAAGTCTAGAAAAACGTGGTGGTTTCTCACTTTCTATTTATATGTTATTTTCCTTGAGGGATGCCTTGAAGTGGTGCTAGAACCATGTCTGTGCAAAGGGGGAGGGAGGGGGG